TGTTTTGGAATCAATCATATTTTATCATTTCAACACTTACTAATGGGTTATTTCCTAGCGGTTTTTAAAATTTTTTAATTTATTTAACTGCTTGGAATGGAAAACATTTTTTCCCCAGTAGTTGTTTGCACTAGGCCTCAGTTTGTGAGATGTTCACCATATGTGATAGATACTCAGATCAGTCCCCCAATTCATATTTAACTCGTATGATTGAACCTGACATAGCACAATGTAAGAAAACATCTCTTTGGGAAAATAAATATGTTGAGTGAGTGCCCTGTGGGAATGCCAAGAACATGTTCACCAAAAGAGAAGGATCCCTAGGGAGGTTAAGCTAAGGCTTAAACTCCCCCACCTATTTTTTTCTGTTTAGATCTTACAGGAAAGATAAATATGCCTATCTTTATGAATCATAGAATACTTAGAAACTGAGTGGCATGGTGAAGTGGAAGGATGGGGGAGGGAAGGTATGGGAATTCAAGCCAAGATGATTATCTGCAGGACTGCTAATCTTAAAGTTTAGAAAGAACTATTCGGAAAAGGGAGGAGGCTAACATTTTTGGAGCATCTGTTGTATTCCAGGACTATAATAGATGCTTTACATATTACTTATAAGCCCCACAGTGATCCAAAAGGGTGATGTTAATGTCCGCAGGTATAGCTGAGGAAACAGGATTAGATGAACCAGGAACTGGTGTGCCCAACTCTAATCATGGTTTGTTTGACTCTAAAGGCCATATTTTTTATATCATACTATGAGGCCTGTCAGTTGTGCATCTAATAATGTTGGTGACAGGAAAGTATAAGCAATTGTATTAAATGAGGTTATTGATTGGCAAATCTTAGCCATTAAAATGTTTTGACTTTTTTTCTATCCATTCCCCTGTAAAATACTAACTATAAACCATAATTATTAAGGTTTTAGCCATTTATTCTTTGTAAAGACATTTTATAAATGTGGGGTTTTTTTGTTTTTGTTTTTGTTTTTGGTCACAAAAGAGATTAATAAGGCTTTGAACAATATGAAGCAGCGAGTCATGTTTTTTTGACATCCCTTCTCTCCTATGCCAGACAAAACATTTAAAAGAGATAACCAGAAAGACTTAACTGGGATCATAAATTTAAAAAAAGTCTCTGCTGGTCAGAAAACAAAACCACACAAAGCAGTGAGCAAGGGCAGGGCAAGAGACCAGTCAGTCAGTCAGGATATCAGGAACTCAAAGTGTTAAGAACAAAGACAGAGATACATGAAACACTCTCAATGGTGAAAGCCAGGCGTGTAGCCGTTTGCCCCTGACCTGGTACAAAAGCAAGGACTGACCACATGTCAAGTCACAAATTTCAAGAATCAGTATACACACCAGATTCTTTTAACCACAAAGCAATAAAATTAGATCCCAATAATAAAAAGTTAGCTTCAAAAAAAATATGGCTTGCTCTACCGGCTGTTAAACATATAGGTTATAATTAAAACTGTGGTACCTAATAGGAAATTAGTTGAATGAAATACTATGCTATTTTTAAAAGAAAATGGGGGGAGTGAACCTCTATATACTGCTTTGGAGTAGTCTCAAGGATATGTTATTAGCAAAAAGGCAAAATGAAGTATTAAGAGTATGCCACCATATATCTAAGAAGTATGCTACCATATCTTTGTGTTTGCTTTGATTTTTAAAAACAGAATAAACAAACTGCTAGGGGCAGTGGGGAGTGGCAAGTAAAGCCAGTGTCTGAAATTCAGAAGCACATCGCCACAAGTGAGCCTGTATATTGAGTTGGCCGAGTCACACAGAGAAGAATTATTTCAGATGACACTTAACCACAGTGATTTGGCTGGATACACCTAATGAAATATCTTAAGGACCAAACTTTTAATAATCATTTTGTTGATCATAACTTTAATAATCGGTCGTATGTTATTTTGAAATACTTGCATATGTATAGAAGGATAGTACATATTAATGTTATTGGAAGCAAATTTTTCAGCATTAGACAGAAAATATAGTTATAAGATCTAAGAATCTAAGCAAAAACCCGAATGATACATATTGTGATTATTTACGGATGAAATGCTATATTATTTGCTTGAAAATAATTGAGGGAAAAGTCGATGAGAATAGATGTAAAACAAAATTGGTTATGTATTGATCATTGGGAACCCGGATGATGACTACATGAGGATTCATCATCTATATTATTTTTTCTGCTTCTCTATTTGTTTATGGAAATTATTTTTAAAAATTTAATTGTATGCTTGAGAGCATAAAAGTGTACTCCTAAGTAACTCATGAGTTAAATGGAAATCACAATAGAAATTACAGATATTTGGGGTAGAACAATCAGGAATTTTACGTACTATTTCAACTGTATGACATGCAGGAAATACTGTACTTAAAGGTAAATTTGTTGACTTAAATGCTCTGAGAAAAGACTTAAACTAAGTAAGTTCAACTCAAGAAGTTAGAAAAAGAAATACAGAAAAAATTGAGGGGAAGAGTAAGAACAAAAATACCATCACCTTATATAAATATCTCAGTAGGCTGAATTGAACCAAGGCATGCTAGGAGAGAGTTGGTCTGTAATTTTCCTTTCTTCTAATATCCTTGGTTCTATATCAATGTTATGCAGTCTCATGGAAGAGTTGGTCAGTCTAAGGGGAAATTGGTAGGATTTCTATATTATCATATATTAAATAGTTAAATATCTGCCTCAGTGAATACTTAACTGACTTAGAAACAGTGCAGTGTTTTTCTTTTCAGCACGAGTTTTGTGCAAAGATGCTGGACTAGGCACTGAGAATATATACACAATTAGGATACTCTCCCCACTCCTGTGGCACTCCAGTCTAAGAGAAGATACAAATTTGTAAATAAAAAATTACAGTCAGGTGAGAAATGTCAGTAAACAAGTGTCCCAGGGCAGTGCCCTGAAGGAAGATGATTCTTAATGCACATGGCAGACTCTGGGGAAGGCTGGGGAGGTTTGGTCAAGTAGCCTCCAAGAAGAGTTGGCATTTACCAAGCAGCCTCTGTGCCTTCAACAGAGGACACGTGAAAAATCACCAGAAGGAGTTTGCCACTTGGCTGGGAGCCAGTATGTCATGAGAGCTGTCAGTGAATGTCATTTCAGATTTTGGTAGCAAGGTTCATTAGAGAACGTGATCTGTAATTTTTCTTTGTTTTAATGTCCTTGTAAGGTATTAGAGTTATGCTGGTCTCAAAGGGGTTGTGGAGTTTCCTTCTTTGCTGTTCTCTGGAAAAGGTTTTATAAGATTAGTATTATTTCTTCCTCGAGTGTTTGTGAAGTCATTTGGGCCAGAGGTTTTCTTTGGTCAGTATGTATTAAACATTTAGTAGAAACAGTGACCTGAAATTTCACCTTAAAATGTTGAATATGTGTCTGAAAAGGTGATACATCATTCTTATTGCCATTTTCACATAATAAAACTTCCATCTGTTCACCAAGCTTACCACAATCCACAGTTTGGTCAATGTTGTATCAGTGACAGAAATTCACTAGTGTAGGAATCCAGTCTGTTTCTAATTGTCAAATGGTATATTATATGTTCAACTAAAAAAATAACAACGACTACCTGAGCTGTTGAATGAGACCAATCTATGCCATCCAGATTCTTTTTTTAATAAATTTATTTGTTTATTTATTTATTTTTGGCTGCATTGGGTCTTCCTTGCTGTGTGCAGGCTTTCTCTAGTTGCAGTGAGCAGGGGCTACTCTTCATTGCAATGCGCAGGCTTCTCATTGCGGTGGCTTCTCTTGTTGCAGAACACAGGCTCGAGACGCGTGAGATTCAGTAGTTGTGGCTCACGGGCTCTAGAGCGCAGGCTCAGTAGTTGTGGCACATGGGCTTAGTTACTCCACAGCATGTGGGATCTTCCCGGACCAGGGATCAAACCCGTGTCCCTGCATTGTCAGGCCAATTCTTTTTTTTTTTTTTTTTTTTAATTTATTGATTGATTGATTGCTGCATTGGGTCCTCGTTGCTGTGCTCAGGCTTTCTCTAGTTGCGGCAAGCAGGGGCTACTCTTCGTTGTGGTGCACAGACATCTCCTTGCAGTGGCTTCTCTTGTTGCAGAGCATGGGCTCTAGGCACGTGGCTTCAGCAATTGTGGCTCACAGGCTCAGTAGTTGTGGCTCGTGGGCTCTAGAGCGCAGGCTCAGTAGTTGTGGCACACGGGCTTAGTTGCTCTGCGGCATGTGGGATCTTCCCAGACCAGGGCTCGAACCTGTGTTCCCTGCATTGGCAGGCGGATTCTTAACCACTGCGCCACCAGAGAAGTCCGGCAAGCGGATTCTTAACCACTGCACCATCAGGGAAGTCCCATCCAGATTCTTGTAGGCTTAATTTATTATGAGCATGCATCAGATCATTTAATCTACTTGATTTATTAGAGTTATATTTAAAGATTAATAATCTTGATGAGCTTTAATGCTTAGAATGCTTTGTCTCAGTTACTTTGAGAGATTTATTTTTAATTAAATATATATTATATTTTATAATAAGCAATATATTCACATTATTTAAACTTGAAAAGTTATAAAAAATGTCTCTCTTGAACTCGGTCCTCTAGTCATCTAGTTCCCCAGGTCCAGAACCAACAGATGTTAATTGCTTCTTGGCTGTCCTTCAATTCAGATTCTCTGGATATGCATGTAATATATATTCCACCTGCCCCCCTTTTTTTTAATACTATCTATTCTGTACTATGCTTTTAACTTAGTATGTCTTAGACTGTTCCATGTCACTGCCTATTAGAGTTACTTGTTTCTTTTCTCTTATGGCTGCCTTGCATCCTAGGATAATGACAAAGATGACTACAATAATAATAAATTAATGTAACCATTGTACTATTGGTGGATTTTTAGGTTATTTCTAGTCTTACTACAGAAGAGGCTATGTTGAATATCCCCAGTTGCTTTTGAATAACTAAATATCCTTTTTCTTGCTAGTTTTTTAGGATAGATCTTCTGTTTCATTTCAGCCATGAACCAGAGAATCAGTCAGAGTGCTCCAGTGAAACAGCCACCACCCCTGGCCCCCCAGAGCCCTCAGGGAGGAGTCATGGGTGGTGGCAATTCCAACCAGCAGCAACAGATGCGGCTGCAGCAGTTGCAGATGGAGAAAGAGAGACTGCGACTGAAGCAGCAAGAACTGCTTCGGCAGGTGAGGCCACAGGTTAGAGACCAGCCTTCCACTCTTGGGGTTTTGTTTTCCTACATAAAGTTGGGTGTGTTTCATTTTGACATTTATTAGTTACAGAGGAATGTGAAACTAGAGTGACACAGAAACATTCTGTCCAGCTCTCGTCTTAGTTTCTAGTTTCTTAACTGGCCTTTGATCACATAGGCTATAACTTGTAAACCTGTATCACAAAGAGATGTTTTGGTCGTATTCATTGCAGTCAAGCAAAAATCGAAGGAAGCAAGGGTGCTTTTCCTCAAATATACAGGCATACCTCGGAGATATTGCCGGTCAGTTCCAGACCACCACAATAAAGCAAGTATTACAATAAAGTGAATCACCTGAAGTTTTTGGTTTCCCGTTGCATATGAAAGTTAATGTTTACACCGTACTGTAGTCTATTAAGTGTGCAATAGCATTATGTCTTAAAATAAACAATGTAAATTGTTTATTGTAAAATTTAATGTAAATTTAAATAAACTTAATGTAAAATTAAATACCTTAATTTTAAAATACTTGATTGTTAAAAAATGTTAACCATCATGTGAGCCTTCAGTGAGTCATCTTTTTGCAATAGTAACATCAAAGATCACTGATCACAGATCACCATAACAAATATGATAACAATGAAAAAGACTGAAATATTGTGAGAATTACCAAAATGTGACACCGAGGCATGAAGTGAGCAAATGTTGGAAAAATGGCTCTGATAGACTTGCTAGACACAGGGTTGCCACAAACCTTCAGTATGTTTAAAAACAAAAATTGCAGTGTCTGCAAAGTGCAATAAGATGAGGTATGTCTGTACATGGAATTGCAGACTACTATATATCTGAGGATTTCACTAAGGGGGAAACTCTGGGACATCACTTGGGGAGAAACATCTTTTACTTTAAATGAATTATTTGTCTGGGGGAATACACAATATGATATTTCTCAAATGATGAATGTTTCAGTATTGCTGAATCTAAGATGTTTTATTTAAAACAATACAGGCTATCCCAAGTTTAGAAGATCCCACAGTGCTTTAAAATTATCTACTTATGGATATTTTTTCATGTTGGGATGGGTAGGTTCTAACGTTAGAGAGCTGGAAAACTTTACGACCATTTTTATCAGTTTTCTTTCAGAAATACTGTTGGTTTTTATGTGCCATAAGAATATATAATCCCTCATCTCAAAATGAATTTTTACTTTATCTTATTTCAGAGTGATAAAATCTAAGTTCAGATTTTGGGAGTGTGATCTTCTCAAAGCAGTATATTTTAAAATTTTTATGTAAATATTTTGGATAATAAACATGATGTGATTTTGAAAGTGTACAAAAGGTAAACGTACAGTGAAAATGAAATCTCCTTTTCCATTTCTCTAGTTCTCTTTTCTGGTTGTAAGTAGCGATCAGTTTCTTGTATTTTTTTTTTCCCCCAGAGACATTCTCTCTGTTTGCGAACGTGAAATATACATATCTGTACTATTTTTCCTCACCTAAGTCATAGAGTACTAAGTATAGGCATTAAAAATATCATTATACTCTACATTTTTGTAGTCAGGATGTAGACATTTGAACAAGGTACTTTTTTTTCATGAGTGTTATATTTTAATAGTGTCACGTGTTAATGGAAATACATGAACTTGATACAGTCACTGAACTCAGATTTGGAATTTGAAGAACTAGTACCTAAGAATTAAACTAAAGCCATGGAATCCCCGACAGGCACACCTTTAAACTGTTTGTGCTATCAGTAACCTGCCAGTGTAATTCTAGTGTGGTTGGCACCAAAGTGAGTAAGAAAGATGATGCCAGCATATGATGTCAAGAAGTGGTCTTGAAAGAAATATTCCCTCATCCGCCTTTAAGAAGGTAGAGAAAGGAAGCACATTAACAAGATTACTGTATCTCTGATGGAATTTTTAACATACTACTATAAAGGAAAGATATTTTTCAATTAAATAAAACTTTATCATCGGAACAAGGTAGCACCATCAAAATTACAGTTATATAGCTCTTAGAAGAAATAAAGCAATTTAAGGGTATGTTTTACGCAGCCTGTTTTCATTTTGTTGTTACTGAGTACTAGATGGCATATGCTTATATAATTTCACATATGAATTAAAGACTACCAGAAAAAAAAGAAACCTTATTAATAAGAAAGGTTAAAGTCTGGGAATGGGCCATCCATCATTTTGTTGTTGCCGTAGATCAGCTCTCCCCCACCCCCTTCCTGCCCAATGGGCAAAATGCTGCTACTTATAAAATTCTTCATTCTAAAGAATTTTTCTAAATCTTATTCTCACTCTTACTCTGGGTGATGGGTCCTAGACAGAATAGTTTCTTTTAAAGGTAACTTCTTTATTTCTTCTTTACTACCTACTGTGTTGTCTTTTCTTTTGTTGAAGTGACAGACCTGCTCTATTTTTATACTAATGGTGTGTTTTCTAAGATTTTTTGGTTTTGTTTTTTAGCAATCAGTATAAATTCAGTATATCTTAAGCCTTTTGGCTTCCTGTGAACTTCTTCCATTGATAGTTTCTCTTATCACTGAAGCATCAAATTATATTTTTCCTGCTTCATCTAATATTCAGAAGTAAAGAACCTACCTGACGAATATCCAGTTTTATTTGAACCCTGACACCCAAAGTCTTACTGTCCTATCCTCAATGCTGTTTAACACTTCTGAGGTTTCCGTTTGTTATGTGGCGACTCCGTTGACTCCTGTCCTCAGTCTGCTTCTTCTTGGGCTAGCTTGGGAATTCTGTGCTATGGTGATATGTCTGGATACAATTTGTAAGTCAGCCTACACAGCCAAACCATGTGGCTTAAAGTAATTTTTATCCATCTTATTTTTTACTCTTAGGCAATGCGGAATATCAATCCCAGCACAGCAAATTCTCCAAAATGTCAGGTAGGCTCTTATCTGATGTTTTAGCATTGAAAACAGATATTAAATTAGGAAAGAGAAAAACTTGTGCTCCAGGGACCTGTCCTCACTGAAGATTAGCCCAAAGTAACTTTGAGGCATCTTTCTACCATGATACTTAAGTTAACATTGCTGTTCCCAGAAAGTTTACACTATCTGCTCCCTCCCCACTCCTCCCAGAGTAGTATTCAAAACTCCATCGAGGTCTTTTTTTTTCTCCACATTTGATATGTAGTATATACACCCTGTCAGCCTTGAAGTGTGCCTGATTTTTTATTTGCATAGCCTAAAATAGTACTTACAGTGATTCATAGAGATTAATAATTTGAACAGTAACAAAGGTAGTATAGGTTATTTACTTGGGTAGGCTACTTTAGGAAATCTTATGAAGAATTATAATCATACTACTAGGAAAGGGAAAGTTTCTTTTAGTGAACACTCCAAAGAAAGAATATTAAAATTATCAAAAAGGATCTACCTGAGTACTGTTTTGGGTTTCTTTGTTGGCTTTTATCAGCATTCCTCCCTGGTGAACCCAAAGGAACACTGGTTGTGAAGGTACCTTATTTAGATGGAAAGATTGTGGCCATTTTTTTCCTTCTATAACATAGGCACTTATCTGACTCATGGAAAGAATCTCATTCTTGAAACCAAAGAGATTCTCTTTGTTCAGGGTTCACAGATATGAAGGAATTAGGAGCTGGGGGATTACTGCACTTTTCTCAGATTGCCAGAAGCAACCATGAAACACCTCATATTCTGTGGAGCTCTTCTGCACTAGGCTAACAAGTGCATTGTGTTAGAATGAGCTGTGGAAGTGGGAATTGGCAGAACTCCACTCATTTTAGATACTGTTAACTGGACCATTTGGAGCACCAGATAGAATCTTCGTAGAGACCAGTTTACTTTGTGAGAGGAAAAACTCTATTCATTGTCTATCTCATAAATGCCTCCTTTAATCAAGAAATCCAGGGAATAACTAATGAAAGTCATCTTTGCTAAAGCAGAGCAGACATTCTTACAATGAGGACCTCTAATACCACATTTGACTGGGAAGAGCACTGTAGCATTGGATCTTTATATAAAGTGAAGACATTTTTCCTTGCTTTTTCTCTGAAGTGTTTCTTTTATTTGTAATAAATGAAGTAGAAACATAGGAGCAAAAATTAATTCAAATGAGATTCGGGATCCAGCAAAAGGTTCTCCATGTTAAAGTGTTTTGAAATTGTTTCCTTTTTATTTTTTCCTACTAAGATCTTAAACTTTAAATCTGATAAGTAATTAAATACCTTCAGGTCTTTATTTCTTACATCAGTATAAGTGTAAACAGTTGCTCATGAAAATTATCAGGAGTTTTTAGATACTTCTTTTAGTAGTAAAGCTTTAGAAAAGTTAAGGTTTGTAAATTGAATTTCTATTAAATTTGTATGGTATTAAAATTAGAGTTGATTCCTTAGATTTGTCTAATAAGCGAGAGCAGGAAACCTGAAAGAGATAGGTTTTATAAAAGGTTTTTCAAATTTAACTTTGCATATGTGGATAATAAAATACTGCCTTGTTATATAAGATTCAGTTGTCAATGTATTTACCTGGCACAATTGTGAAAATGTTCGAAATTCCAGTATAGGGCTAAATTTGGAGTTGCTCAGATACCCAGAATCTGGTTGTATTTGTATCAAGCAAGTATCTGTGTTTTTCTCATCCTACATATTTTCTAGATTATATTAAGGTAGATGCCAGGAAAGATTCCACAAAGGAGGGTCATATCTTAAGTGAAGATGCCTTTAAATAAGGTTACCAGGATAATCAAGAAAGCCAGAAAGCTTTCCAGTCTCAAAAAACAGGAATAATGAAGAAAAAGGGATGGATCCATTCAATACTTGAGGGCAAGGCACACCTGTTGAGTGCTTTGGGGGGTTTGGGTTCTGTTTGTTGTTTGTTTTTACTTTTCTAATAGAAATCAGTGCAGATGAGTTAACAAGCAACATGAAACCAGTGGCATTGTTTTGTAATTATACACCGCATTTGCTGTGGGAAGGTACCAGACTTCAGAATGTTCACAAATTACTTGTTTCAAAAGCTATCCTTAAGTACTTCTGCATAGGATTAACAAAACCTGTCTGTATTGTAGAATTTTCTGGTCTTATAAACTACTGTCAGTATGGGTGAGGTTAATACAAAATTCTGAAAAATTGAGACAACTTTAAAGGGGTTAGTATATTTTCTTAGTTAAAAATGGAAATTATTGCCTTAATTTGTTAGGGTTTGTTGGCAGAATTTTGGAAAAATTTGTCCTCATAGAGCTTTAAATTTTTAAATTTCATTTTGATTATTCACTATTTTTGTTTCTAAAGCAATTTCTGGTCTCAGAAAAAAAAGAAAAAAACTTTTTAAAAGTATAAACATCGTCTTTGCTCCATGAGATTGAACATGTATGGAATGCTCAATTTTCTCTGTATAACTCTTTCTAATACATCAGTTTCTCCTCTGTGACTGGAGGGAGACCTTTGAGAGAGTGGGTTAGGAATGCATCCCAGCTTCTGTTTCAAAGTCTTTTGAAACTAACACTTTGAGGAAAGATAGTGCCCCCTGAGTGTGAATGTTTTTACCTTCTCTTATGCTTAAGAATGTGGTTCTTAGTACCTGCGGTTCCCTAATACCTATGAGATCAAGCCTAAACTCTGCAACCTAGCTCATTTGTGGTCTGTGGTCAGTAGCCTTCTTTCTCTCTCTCAATTCTGGTTAAGCCAATTACCTTCCTTCAGCCAAGTGCACTCCTCTGTCTTGTTGCCATGATTCCACTCATGAGCTTTTCCCCATAAGGAGTACCTGACATTTCCCCTTCCCTTTTACTGATTAAGATTCTCCATTTCCTTCATAAGGCCTAGGTCAAAACGCATCCCCAAGTGCCCTCATCAGAGTGCTTGAAACGACCCAGAAAATAGAAACAAGACTGCTGTGTATAGATAGCTTATCTCTGAGCAAATAATTGCTTTACTCTTCATAGAAATTATAGCTATAAATTTTTTGCAACTAATGAATATTGTGTAGTCGCCATTCCTTATGGATAGTAATAAATACACACCAGGGTCAGTTACTGGGTTAATGATGGATAAAACCCACAGTATTAATGTTGAGGATATTGTACTACACTGTTAGCCCGAAATGGTGAAGAGATCCAGATGTCCATCGTTTTAGTCAAATAGAGCAAAATAGTACAGGACCCCTGTTCAGAGCCATGTGAAAATAATCACCACAGTTTTTTTTTTTTTTTCTGAATTTAATAATAGCAAAGTTTTGGCTTTTTTTTCCCCCTCCAAACTCTCTTTTATGTTAGCAGATACTAGAAAAGCTATTTCAGAATCCAATTAATACCTTTTCCAATTTTATCTCTCTTCTTTTTGAAGTCCTAATATTGAATAAATCATAGATTCTAAAGATTCTGTGAATCATTCTATGAATTTGAATCATAGATACACATCTTTTTAGTCTAAAAGGTTCTGAAGTTGAAGATACTTTGGTAAATGGCACAAATATTAAAAAACAAAAAGCATTCTAAACATTGGCTAAATGTTTTAATAACTTCCAACATAATTAAATATTCTGTGACTGTTTAAAGCTGTGTTGGAAAATGGGGTATGGCAAGACCTATCTTGAACAGTTGGAAGAAATGGCTTTTTGTTTGTTTGTTTTTAAAATTGTTGACATAAACTGCTGTTACTAAGATAAACTGTTTAAAAGATGTGTCTTTTCAGAGTTATTCTTCATTTCTAAATTTGGATTTCTAGTTCACTAAACTAACCTACCTCAAATAAATTGATTAGGTTGGAGAGGGGGGACGTTCATTTGTGTGCCGTATATTATCCAGAAATGAAACACTCTTACATAGTATTTGCTGAAGATAAAATTGCTTTAAGAAAGTAAAGTTGACATTAGCTTTACAGAATTTTCTATAAATGGAATCATAACTTTTTCACCTTAGCATGATTATTTTGAGATTCATTCATGTTGTATTTATAGTTCGTTCCTTTTTATTGCTAAGTAGTATTCCATTGTAGGGATATACTACAATTGTTTATCTGTTCACCTACTGATAGATATTTGACTTGTTTCTAAATTTTGACTTGTGTAGACACATGCTTCCATGTCTCTTGGATACTCTAAAGAATTTAATAACCTAGAGATGTTCTAAATGTTTCCAGACTACTGACTCCTACTGCCTTTCTCCTTATTTTTCTAAATGATGTGAACCAAAGCATCAGTTTTATATGGAGCCAAAATACTTTACTACCAGATATGTATTATCTTAAAGTATCTTTTTTACCCTATGAGAAATGATACTCCTATTTAAATGAGAGAAGGGAAATACAAAAAGGGCCAATGGCTCATGGTTGGATCCTGAGTCCATAAAAGTCCACTGTGTGAACCAGGCAAATCATGTTTTCCTTTATAAACCATCCTGGAAAGTTCCCTCCAGACCAAGCTGGGACCATCAGTTTTACTTATAGTTGCAGATAGCTCTGACTCCACATGCGTCCCAGATTAGCTAAGATTTACAAGCTCAATGGGAAAAGCCACCACATTTTTGTATTATTACAGAAGAAAATGAGCTAAAAATATTTGCTTCCTTTAGAAAAAGTCAAATACTCTAAAAGAACTGTTTGACCTTTGAAATACAGAAGCATGATAAATTTTGGCTGAATTTCCTATAACTTGCTTACTTCTCCATTTTTGAAAGTCTGTCAAACTGTTTATTCTGACTACCTTTGGGAAAAAGAGAAGCTTAACGAACTTGTATTTTTAGCTCAGTATTCTAATATTAGACATTTGTTCAGGATAAAAAACTCCTTAGAGATAGACATAACTTTCAACATGAAGTGTTTCAACTGAAATCAGTTTTTGTAGACAATCCAATTATGTCCCAAGACTGATTTTTAAAACAGCTATGCCAGATTTACTCAATTACAAAATGATGTTCATATTCATCCAAAATGTGTTTTGACAAAATTACTTTATTGCAACAGAATGGGTTTATTCTACATAGGTACATGTAGATATATACAGGAATTTTTTTTTTTTTTTTTTTTTTGTGCAGTACGTGGGCCTCTCATAGTTGTGGCCTCTCCCGTTGCAGAGCGCAGGCACAGCGGCCATCGCTCACGGGCCTAGCCGCTCCGCGGCATGTGGGATCTTCCCGGACCAGGGCACGAACCTGTGTTCCCTGCATCGGCAGGCGGACTCTCACCCACTGCGCCACCAGGGAAGCCCAGGAATTATTTTTAAATGCATATAATGGAGAAAGTTTATATGAAATATTTTTGATTAAAAAATTCAGATTATTTAACTTCATTTCATACTTATCCATATTAATTATTTTTCTCTAAAATCACTGGCAAAAACTCTGTACAAACTCTGAAACAAATTTTTAATATTTTACTTCTAAAATTATTAATTTTATGCAGTGTGTTCACTTTCACATTTACAATCCTTGGCTAAGGATACAAGGAATTACAAAGCTCACTCACAATGAAACCCATGATTTAACTGTTCCTCACTGGCAGCAGGACAGCTTAGGGAGGAGCTCTTTCAGTTAGTTCTGACTCCACATTCACTCTCCTTCAAAGTCTGACTAGATAAAGCATGGAGTAGGATACTTCTGCAGATTTCCACATCTCTATGTGGCAGTGTGTGTGCATGCATGCATGTGTGTGTGTTTATGTGGAAGTGGATGTTACTGTTTTTATATTCAGTGGAACTCTGAACTTATTGATATACGTTAAGGGGAGGGGGAAGTTGGCCTGTTTTCCTACAAAATACATTTGGTTTTCCTCCCCAATTTTTCACAATTTCCTTAAAATATCAACAAAAATGTTTCATCTTCCTTATTGAACCCAGTGAAATAAATTATGTTCACAGATGAAAATATTAACAAAAGAATTAATTGGGATTGACATATATACACTGATGTGTATAAAATGGATGACTAATAAGAAAAGAAAGGAAGGAAGGAAAGAAAAGAAAGGGAGGGAGGGAGGAAGAAGAAAGGAAGGAAGGAAGGAAGGAAGGACGAACGAACGAATGCCCTGGGGAGGGGGCTACCAAGTAGTCAAGTTTAGTTAAAGTAATTTTGTTTCTAGCAAATCCATTTTTGGATGATGTATGTGTAAGTTATTATATATCAATTATACCTCAATAATACTTCAAAAATTACTTCTAATCAACCCTGGTTGGTTGGTTTTGGGGGTTTTGTTTGTTTGTTTGTTTGTTTTTCCTATAACTAGAAGTTTCAAACCTGAGCTGAATATCCATACCTGGTATATGGGTTCTATAATCTATGTATATGTTATTTATATCATTGGCCTTATCACATTACATTTGTTTTCATGCCATATTCTTCACTATTTTGTTGATAATGCTAACACTGTCCTACCACCACCACCAGTAAATGAAGTGGCATTTTTTTCCCCCGAATCCCTAGGTTAGTTACTCTTAGTCCTGGCTCAAATATAGATTTGATGAGAAGTATTTCCATAGCCTTTCAGGGGGTTGGATATCTTCTTAGGCAGCTTGTAAAGACTGGCCTTCTTATTCACATCTCTAAATTACTTTTCATTGTAAATGTGGATAGTTGGTTCTTTAGTGTCTGCTGACAGTAGAAATTCAGTTGTTAAAGGCAGCAAAAAGTAAAAATCTGATAGCTTCAAACAAGCAATGTGGCAGAATTCCAAGTAGCGAGAACATGGAGATTTTGCACATAACAATTAGCTTTAACTTCATAAAACCTTCAAAAAGTGGAAACCATCAAAAGGGGTAAAATAAAAGTTGTAAAAACAATATGAAAATTATAGCAAATTTATTAAGTTATTTCAGTAATGATGTATTTGCTTTGTGCTGCAAGGTTCAAAACTAGGTACACAGAAACATGAGCATGCCTTCCCTAGGCATCAGCCTCATCCAGAGCCTATAATTTTATTCACTTTAAAATTTATTGCTTTTGGGGCGTCCTTGGTGGATAGGACTCCGTGCTCCCAATGCAGGGGGCCTGAGTTTGATCCCTGGTCAGGGAACTAGATCCCACACGGATGCCGCAACTAAGACGCAGCGCAACCAACCAACCAACCAAATAAGTAAATATTTTAAAGTAAAATAAAATTTATTGCTTTTAACATCCTTGTGTTTTAATAGCAACATAAATTCTTCAAAGTATTTAGAAGCTCTTGTTTTATGCTCCAAAATAGTCGTTCATTTATTCATTTTGTGCCCTTAAGGGACAGAGAAGAAATAATTACAATATCATGTGGTAAGTGCTAAGATCATGTTACATACATATGCTCAAGGTGTGAAAGACATATTGTCTATCTGTCTAATCTAATCCAATCCGAAGATGGAAATGGGATCATTCTGGAGAATTACCTAGAGAAGGTAACTGTGTCTTAAATAATAAGAAAGAAAAGTGTTCTAGTCAAGAGTATATGGAAAGACATGGTACCAAGAGAAAACATTTCATATTAAAGACCTGCGGGGAGTGCACTTTGTTTTAAAGTCACTTCTCACTTTGTAAGGTGAAAATGGGGGCGAGGGGCACATCAAAGATAGAAGATAGAGAAAACAAGTAAAATGGATCCCCAGAAGCTGCTAGGAGTGTGGGTTGGCCTAGAACAGGAGACAGCGGGAGGGAATCCATTGAAATGAAGCAAGCACATTTTTAATATTGATTCATGGTTGGAATTTGCTGTGTTGAAATAAAATTATGTGTGTATCAGGAATCTGAAAGGTGATCATGTGTATTTAAAATGATCAGCCCTGCATTTAAACTTGTAGGGAAGGAGAGCCAATAGATTGGAATAGTAGGAGGCAGAAGAAACTGGATGGAAAGAAAAAATACGGTTCCAGAAAGCGGGATGAGTACATGTAAGATTTCTGGGGAAGAAGTTTCTAAACCAGCTCAGGGTGTGACGGAGGAAGTTAATGACTGAAATACAATGGTAAAGTGGTCAATATCATTGCAATTTAGAGAGCCAGGAATTTCAGTGTTAGATTACTGTATAGATTTTGTGCATGGATGTTGACAGTTCCCGGGTGATAGATGCAGTTGCAATGAAGTGAAACAATGATCATTGTCCCAAACATGAGTAAAGATTGTAGAGGTAGGTTTGGTTTTGGAATAACAAGGTCTTGGCTGTATAAGTGGGTGATTGAGGTAGGTAGGGATGAAGATCACTGGAATCCAGAAATTCAAGGAACTCATGTTGAGTGACTCATCTACATAATGTATAAGTAATAAGATATAGTGTCATGTCTTAAAATTAATATAATATTGAAATAGTAATTAATATAAATGGTATTTTAATACATTTGCAACAACTAGAGCATGATATGAAAATGTTTTCTATTGATGAAAAGTCAAAGGTATAGTAAATACTGCTGTTTGTTGCCTATATTTATAATTGAAGAAAATGCTAGATTTTAGTTATAGGTTAATGAAAATAAAGATGTAATTTTTTTTCTCCATCCAAGTTCACATACCCTCTGCATTCTGTCATGATCCTCCGGTTAAGAAACCCATTTAAAAGATGGGGTATCTAGAAGGCAGAAACCTGAGTAAAAAGAAGTGGTTGTTGCATAGTCTAGAAGTGGTGGTGCAGAGCTCAGAAAATATCTCCACTGCTTCTGGACCCAGTGGTGACTGGGAGTGAGGGTGCTGGAGATGGTGTGTGCCTCAGCGAGCAGGCTTGGCTCAGGAAGGCTGCAGGGGGTGAGGTATGAAGGTGTAAGAGTTGGCCAGAGTGAGGTGAACTAGCCTTGAAGCCCCAGGCAAATATAAAGCTGAGGCCTGGAATGTTTGGAAGCACGTTGAGGCAGGCCTTCTTAAATGATCAGGGTAGTAATGGCCCATAGCTTTTGCTCAGTTTCCAGGTAGAATCTTGCTGAGAAATTGTTGGATGCCCCAGAAGACAGTTCAAGATTGAAAAACCTGAAGTCAGAATGAGTTACTTGATACCAAAGTGTAAAACAATGCAGGAGGGCAGTGAGGAGTGTTGGTGTCTTGGTAAATCACCAAATTTTGTTCTTTTGACTTTATTTGTATTACTGGTGCCAAACATATAAAACCATATGAGGGTTGGTGAGTAAAAATAAACTGTAAGAATTCTCTTTTGTAAAGATCAGACTTGCCATCCTACCCCAGAGGAGGGATTTAGGAGTGTCTGCCAGAAAAGGAAAATACCGAAAGGAAGCTAAGTAGTTAAGTATATATGTTTTGGGGTTAATAAGACTAATTAAACTTTCAGTTTATATAATTTAATGTTTAATCACTTGAAATGGATAGAAGAACCTGGTCCTTCTGATTGGGAAACTCATTAACTTTTAGATGTTAATACTTCAGCTTTATACGTACAAGTTTATTACTTTAAACCTAACGATAACTTTGTTAATCGATAGATTGATTCTGTTTATTTGTGTTGATGTTTTTCTAGGAATTAGCTCTCCGTAGCCAGTTACCAACACTGGAGCAGGATGGTGGGACTCAAAATCCAGTATCTTCTCCTGGGATGTCTCAGGAATTGAGAACAATGACGACCAATAGCTCAGATCCCTTTCTTAACAGGTTGGTAAGAGTTGCTACTGGCCAACATCTGAGAAAGATCATAGTTTTAAGGTGATTCTCCTTAGTACTTGTAATAAGCTGTTTGAACATCTTTGTGGGCCAAAAACCATAGCTGTAAATGAATCTCTCCATAAATGGCTAGTACAATAAAACTTGAGGATTAAAAGCTGGCTCGTGTGAGAGGAAATGAGCTGTTCAGACTTGTAGAGGGGATACTTATTCACAGTCACGTGTTTGCTTGTGCCTATACTGTTGAAAAACAGTTACTTGCAGAATCATGAAGGAACATGTGAATGCCTTTCTATAAAAGCAAATGAACTGCGTCTCAAACCTCTTAGGGCTGCACTGTAAGGATCATTAGAAGGAATTTTCCACGTAAGTGTTCAGCCTGAGAAGTTTCACTGCAGGAGCACTGTAAGGCCTCATGTTCTTAAGGGCTATAGGTCAAGGAGATAAAAAGTAAGGTTGTGCCTCTTTCAAATAATGTATTAATATTAAAGAGTATTGAAAATAACATAGTTTAAGGATGATTTTTAGTGAGTTACCACAAATCTTGGGTTTCAGGCATATTGCAAAGATGTTATTATATGTAGGGAGGGCTATGTTGAAAACTGCAAGCTGAGACAGAACATAGTCTTTGCCTAGAAGGCCTAAAATTAAGATTTGACTACAATTCTTTCTTCTAGATTGTCAAATATTTATGGAGTTTCAGCTTTTAAAGTAAGGAACAATTGCTTTCTGGTCTTTGCTTTTGTTTTTTTTAACCAATTTTGAAACAGTGTACTTTTTAAAACATTTAAAGGTATTTTTGTTTAAGAAGGCTATAATGCTACCCTTTCAATTCTCACCAATTGAATTGAAAACATCCTGATCCTAAGAAAAACAAAATACCTTGTCATACCAAAATATTTAGTACAATAGAATTTTCTATCATTTGCTCTGTCTTAAGGTTAGTTAGTGCTGGTGCCCTATTTGGTAAGTTTGGTTTCAAAGGCCGTCTAAAGGGTATTTAAGTTTGTATTTACTCTTCTGACATATGCAGTTTAAAGTTCTGCCAAAAATTGAGTATATTTATATAAGACTGTAGTTCTAAGCTTAAACTGAGGTTAATTAGGAAAGGTCATAGCCATAGAACTTTCTTTTCCACAAAGGAAATTTCAGATCAATATAATTCCAGTACCCATCTTATTGAAGGCCTATATTGATCCAGGGATAAAATTAGACCATTTGGGAAAAAATGGATAGACTGCATATCCTCCTGATAGTCATTTGTGCAGATTGTTTCTTAAAACTTTTGATAAGATCTGAGCTACAGTTTAAGATTCTATTTTCTGGTAAAGATCACAGAGTGGAACATTACCAGTGTTGTTAGTCTCAGGGCAAAATCCCATGTCTACTCTCTGTAGTACCCCCAGTTTCTAAAACACACATCTGACCATAACATTTTTCTTTTCAGAAACTCTTGATGGTTTCTCCACTGCCCATCATTCGATTTATACATATTCCTTAAGCTCTAAACACTTGTTCCCCTAACTTGCCATGGAGTTGACTCTTAGTAGTGGTGGAACATCCCCTCATCTCCCTTTTACTCTGAGGTCTTTCAAGGCCAGCTCCCACGTTCCTTCCATGAAACCTTTCCCCTGTACGTTTCAAGCTTACTCCTCTTTGTTCTGAAAGCACTTTGCTCACGTAGCCCTTGTATATGATTCATTAACGTATTTGTTCACCTCCCTCCCTGAAGTTGTGAGCCTCTCAGAAAGCATCAGTTGTAGATTTTTGTTATCATTAATCTCTCTATCGTCAGACTAGTCTAATCCCTATCACGTAGTAGCAGATGCTCAGTGAATGTTTATTGAAGGGTGGTGCGGGGCTGCAGGGAGCAGTCCCTAACCAGGGAAATGGCCTTGTGAACTTGGTCCTCAGGAGTGCCCATGTGCTTCCCCTGGGGCTTGGAAAGAACTCTGAACAGCTGTGTACATTCAGCTATTCTGTAACAGAGTCTTGAGTGTCTTGATATGTGCTCCGTTCTCAGCAGTGGGAATAGAGTGATGACTAGGACCAGGCCCTTGTCCCAGATCAAGACAGGCAAAATAAAAACAAACCACATCCTGAGACCTTCTCCAAAGTAGCTGCATTGTATACAAATGGTCTCAGAGGCAAATTTGTGTTTTCTTGGATCTGTGTGAGGCTTTTGAATCTTGCCAAAATCTGACAGAAGCGTTAAACTCGTGGTTGCAATATACAGAGTGAAGGGGAGGGAGAACAAGGCAAGTGCATTGAGTAATTTAGGGTAGAAATTTAGGGGACTGAGCTTTCGACCTTGAGCAACTATTAACTCTTGTTTTTAAAGCTTAGTTATTTTTTGTTTAACTTTTGTGTGAGCTAAACAGCTGTTAAGTGTCCAAGCTGTGGAGAAAGTTAGCGTTTGCACTGTAGTCAGAGACCATTAAGAACAATTGCCTTTATTTCACACTTTGCCATAGTTTTTCTACAATTAGCAGAACCTCCAATTTTACAGGCGATGCCACCTGGTGTCTGCGTGCTACTAGGTTAGGAGAGTGTCGTATTTATGAAAGTAATAGTCTAAGGATATTTACCATACTTGTATGTAAATCTGTGATACTTTCCATTTAGCCTAAAGTAAAAATCTGTCTTGGCTCGTATTTTTCTGTTTTTCTCAAGGTATGTGCCTTGTAGCTTTTTTGTTTTTTGTTTTTAATCTTTCCTTCAACTGGAATTCTCAGGACTCCTATCTCATGCTAAGGTGTTTGTTTGCAGCTCCCCGCCTTTCCCAAACAGAAACAAGGAGATCAAGCTAGGGAGTTCAGTTCTTATCGGCAGTGACTCATGTTTTGGCCCAGTCGAAAAAGAAATTCTGGTTCTTTATTTTGGTTTGATTTTTCTGGCTTAAACTCTCTGCATGAGAGCTAGGAATTAGCATGAATCTAGTGCAGACCTGTCTCACCACCCACCTGGAGGTTGTGTTTTGACCTATGCCTGTGACCACTGCCACTTGGGGAATTGAGACCTTGAAACAAATGAGCCATGTGGAGCCCCTAGATTCAAATGATACTAGAGAATATCTACACAGAGAATTTTCTGTCACCTAGGAAAACTGGAAATATCTTTCTTTTCCCTTATTGCCACCAAGCCCAGAACCTTAGGAAAGTTTTGGCCCCCTAAAGTTGCCAGTTTCAATTAGGATTAACTTGTCTGTTTCACCTCATAGCAAGAGAGCTTTGTATGGGCCCTGAAGGAGGGTGCTTGTTTCAGATGCTACAGGGCAAGAATTTTCACTAATCCTCTTTGAGAATCATGTTGGTACTCAGCAGGTGTTTATATTTTTACCTTGAAATCATTTCTTAAATTTTTTGTGTTGGTCTTTAACTCTCATTCTTTGTAGTGGCACCTATCACTCTCGAGATGAGAGCACAGACAGCGGACTAAGCATGAGCAGCTACAGTGTCCCTCGGACCCCAGACGACTTCTTGAACAGTGTTGATGAAATGGATACAGGTTGGTATTCTTTATTCCTCTAGCTTTCAGTGAGAAGTAGTCATTGTATTACCAGGTCTAATTAAACTATTGTGAGCAAAGATTATTCAGAAGAAAACCAATTGAGATCCTGTAAACTTCAACTCAAATTAAGTTTGCTTTGTGGGTTTTTTTTGTTTGTTTTGTTGGCATCTTGTAATTTAAGTCTTTTCCCAGTTTTTAAATGTCATGAATATCTCAGCTCTATTTGACATGAATTATTTTGTATTTTAGCATTTAAAATATTGAGTTAATTGACAAAGCAGTTGAGGACCCTATTAGAAGTCTCTGTTATATGGATTTGTATTCTTTTTTTTTTTAATAAATTTATTTTATTTTTTATTTTTTTGGCTGCGTTGAATCTTTGTTGCTGCTTGCGGGCTTTCTCTAGTTGCAGCGAGTGGGGGCTACTCTTCGTTGCAGTGCACAGGCTTCTCATTGTGGTGGCTTTTCTTGTTGTGGAACACGGGCTTCAGTAGTTGTGGCTCGCAGGCTCTAGAGTGCAGGCTCAGTAGTTGTGGTGCACGGTTTAGTTGCTCCGTGGCATGTGGGATCTTCCCGAGCCAGGGCTCGAACCCATGTTCCCTGCATTGTCAGGCGGATTCTTAACCACTGCGCCACCAGGGAAGCCCCTGGATTTGTGTTCTTAATTTTGGAGAAGATCTCTATATGTGATTCATATGTCTCTATATGTGATTCATTGTCTGCTTTCCTCTTTTTTGTGAGGGTCTTTGGTCCAACTTAGGTGATATGGGGCTCAGGAAGCCAGGTAGGAAAGGCTAGGTGGTGGGGCTTACCTACTTTATTGTTAGAATAGTTTCAGGGATCTTGCAGAAGCTAAGAAATACCTGCCTCACAGGGGGTAATTATAGAACCCTTTTTCCTGTGGCTTACCCGGTGACCCTGGACTTAGCAGCTATCAGAGGGCACGAATTGGCGGGGAAATGAAGCAGCTCTCCAGCTAGCTAGTTCTTTAGCTGGCAGCTTCTAAAAGTGTTTGGCAAGTCTTCTGTACCTGTGCTCATGCAGCTTATGGCTTTGATGCTTCTGGGAATCCACAGCGCCCTCTCTTCATCTAAATCTTAAATCATCCATAGGAGCTGCTTCAAACCCATCTCATTCATAACACCTTTCCTGACTCCTCTGTCCCCCCATTTCTCTCTTTAACACTTAATGGTTTATATTAGTTTTTCTTAAATCATGTTCCATTGAAGTGTTAAGGAATGTTAACATTGTCATGGGCAAAAAGGTTTCTTGGCAAGGTAAGTTTGGGAAACCTAGAAGCAAAGCTAGGAGGACTTACCTATCCAAGGACTTTTTGGGAGGCTTGTTTTTACTGTTGTGAATGTGAATCTCCCAAGGGTGGAATAGTTTTGTGCAGTTCTTTTATTCTGTTCCCCAGTGTGTACTTCAGAGAAAGGTCTATACCATTCATTTTTATATTTTATCTTATTATGGTGGTGCATACCTGGAAGAGAGTCAAGTAGTGTTGCTGTTGTGTCATACTTTTTCTTTCTCTCTTGCTGTATATAATTTTTCAAGGAATTTTTTTTCAGGACCCCCTTCACTGCTCAGCACATAGTAGTAAGCAATCAAGCTTGTTCAATATCTGAACAATTTTGAAGCAAAAGGAAACTTGCGTTGTTACTTTGCTATCTGTGAGTTGTTTGACCTTAAGTAAACTGTGGGCCAGTGGAGGAGGTCGGTCAGGAATGCGTTGCTTTCCCTGTGCATTTATGTATACTCACATGATACGGCTCTGATGTTAGCTTTTCAAAAAGGACCTATTCTCTTTCTCCCTGTTCCATCTAGGTGACACTATCAACCAAAGCACCCTACCCTCACAGCAGAACCGTTTCCCAGACTATCTTGAAGCCATTCCTGGGACAAATGTGGACCTTGGAACACTGGAAGGAGATGGAATGAACATAGAAGGAGAGGAGTTGATGCCAAGTCTACAAGAAGCTTTGAGTTCTGACATCCTTAATGACATGGAGTCTGTTTTGGCCGCCACCAAGCTAGATAAAGAAAGCTTTCTTACATGGTTATAGAGCCCTCAGGTAGACTGAATTCTAAATCTGTGAAGGATCTAAGGAGATATACCTGAAATTTCCAAATAAGCCGGTTGTGATCTTCTGGCTAATACAGAAAAAGATGAACAAACGTCCAGCAAGATTCTTTCATCCACTGTTTTGCTCTTCCTTGTCCATTGCTGCTGTTAATATATTGCTGACCTCTTCCATGTTTGGCTCTAAAGAATCAAAAAAAAACTTTTTTTGTTTCTTTTGCTATTATAACTACTGTTTGTTTTGGGGGCTGGGGGAAGTGAGCCTGTTTGGATGATGGATGCCATTCCTTTTGCCCAGTTAGACGTTCACCAGTCATTTTAACTAAATATTCAGACTTGGAAGTCAAATGCTTCACGTCACAGCATTTATTTAGTTTGAGCAATTGTTTCTTCAGCTGCCTTTGGCCAGTGGAAAAACATGACTTACTGGTCTGACAAGCCAAAAATGTTGTATCTGATATTAAGTACTTATGCTGATTTGAAGAGATAGCTGAAACCAAGGCTGAAGACTGTTTTACTTCCAGTGGGGTTTTTTTCCTCCTAGTGCTATCATTAGTCACATAGTGACCTTGATTTTATTTTAGGAGCTTATAAGGCTTGAGATAATTTCCATAGAAATATATTAATTATTGCCACATACTCTAGTATAGGTTTTGGTGGGTTTTATTGTGGTTTTTTTGTTGTTGTTGTTGTTGGTTTCTTTTTTGTTTGTTTTTTGTCTTGGTTGGGGTTTTTATTGTTTGCGAGTTTCTTTTTCTTTTTTTTGTTTTTTTTTTTGTTGTTGTTGTTGTTTCTCAGAACTTAGGCAAATTACCATTATAGTGAATCTGTTTATACTTGTAGCTTGGGGCAGTTATTGTAGTTCCTTTGGTAAATCTACATGTCCTGGTTTTTTTTTACCATCTTATTTAAATCTTGGTAATCTGCTCTCTCTATATATACCCCCACACACACTTATAATGTTTATGATAGTGTGATAGCAGAATGTATCTTTTTTTTTTTTAAGTTTTCCCTACTTTCCAATTTATTTTAAAATGGTAGCTTTGAATGTATGCATTTAGAATACATGACAAGTAGTTTATATTTCACAGGTAGTTTAAATCTGGTTGGGGCAGTCTGCAAATGTTGGTGGTAGTTTAGTGTTCTAGAAAGGGCTGTTATTATGGGTAGTGCCTAGAGGAGTCCTGTATGCCCTCTGGGCACACAATGGATATTATCTGATGAATTTGAAAGAAGCAAACAAGAAATGGCTTTATTTTCCCCTGGTTAGTCCCTCAGACTAATTTTACATCTTGATGGGAAATCACTGAGTTAGGTTCATAGTGTACATGACAAAAGTAAGCTTTATATAGTGGTTTACCTTCCTTTAGCTTTGAAAGTTTACCTTTGCCTTAGTTTTGGAAGTAAATTCTAGTACTTTAGTTCTCTTTTGTAGTGAACACATTAAGGATTACATTGAAATATTACCTACAAAATCGTTCTTCTAAGACTTGCTTCTGCTTCTGTATGCTGAGAATTGACCCTGGATAGTATATAGAATACTGTAAGGTCATAAGTTAGCTGGTAAAGTGATCAGATTAATGTATATTGGTAGTTGAATTTAGCAAAGAAATAGAGATAATCATGATTATACTTTTATTTTTACTGGAAGAGATATAACTAGAGTATGTGTCTACAGGAGTAATAATGTTTTCCAAAGAGTATTTTTAAAGGAACAAAATGAGCATGAATCAAACCTTCAGTATAAGCTATGAAGTAATACTTGGTTGTGAATTACAGTGGTATCAGCTAGCACCTCTATGATTAAGGGTCTTTTCAGTGTTTCTAGAGTAAGCCCTTATTTTCAAGGGTTTATAAGACATAAAATCTCTTTTCCTGGCTAAAACTGCTATGAAAAGCCTCAGCTTAGGAAGACAAGTGTTTTTTTTTTCTTTCTTTCTGATTACAGAATCTAAGCATTTTGACCCTTCAATTTAGAGGAGTGCAAAAGTTGGAAGTAAGAAGTTTTATATTAAGTAATTTCAGTGCTCAAAATGCAATCACTGTGTTGTATATAATGATTCATAGGTTGATCATTCATAATAATTGACTCTAAGGCTATTATTAAGAAAACAGAAGAAAGATTAAATCTTGAATTAAGTCTGGGGGGAAATGGCCACTGTGCAGATGTATTGATTTTTTTAGAGGAATAATGAAATTCTGCCTAGAATGCATAATTGAGTTTATGGATGGATGATACAGTATGTTGGCTTTTTTATGTGCAGAAGATCAAAGCTACTTGGAAGGAGTGCTTACAATTTGCCATTAAGCCACAAATTAAGATCGCATTTTATATATCAGCAGAGTAGCTTTAGATTAGGGGAGAGGGTGGGAAGGTGGGAGGGGAGTTGTGAAGACTTAGTGGGACCTTGATAGAGAACTTTATAAGCTTCTGTTTCTTCAATAAAGACTTGTCTTGCATCTTGCTGTCATTAAAGTCAGTTGTTCCTAAAATTTTAATCACTCAAGTACACCCACAAAACAAAAATATGGAGTTCTTCATTTCCTCTCACCTTTAATTTACCCAGTTATACCTCAGTGTTGAAGCAGCACCGTGGTACCTAACATACATGGTGCTTTGATCTTATCGTACCCTCTGTACTCACCTGCAGGAGACCTAAGCCTTTCTCTTTCTGAGTTTGAATCACAGCCTTGATGTGCTCTTCCTTATTTTATGTCCTTATTCGTAATGTAACGTGTTTAACTGCTTCTTGGTTGTATTGGGTGGCATTGGGATAAGATTTTAACTGGGTATTCTTGAATTGCTTTTACAATAAACCAATTTTATAATCTTTAAATTTATCAGCTTTTTACAGTCGTGTTCTTTTTAGTTAGTGCTTCTTAGATCTACTTATGGTTGATGGAGCACATTGATTTGGAGTTTCAGATTTTCCAAAGCACTATTTGTTATAATTACTATTTTCTAAATATAGTGCCTTTTTTAAAAAAGGAGAAAAAGAATATAAGGAAGTGACTTTTATACAAATGATGTTGCTGTTTTAAGTATTCATACTAAATAGATGCATTCTATATGGAACCTTGGCAGAAACACTGAAAAGCTTCTTAATTGTGTAATTCATACCAATCAGTGTTGAAGTTCAAACAGTGCAAAAGTGGGAGGCAATATCAAATGATTTACAATTTCAGAGCTTCTGCACATCTGAGAAGGAATGCTCAGATCAATTTTATCTTCCATAAGCACGGTTTTAAAAGAGTTGTGGGTGTGCCTATCTTAACAGTTGTTTTCTGTATCCTGAAAAAGTATTCTCCACATTTTAAATGTTTTATATTAGAGAATTCTTTAATGCACACTTGTCAAATATATATATATAGTACCAATGTTACCTTTTTATTTTTTGTTTTAGATGTTAAAAGCATGCTCATATGTTAGGTACTTACATAAATTGTTACATTATTTTTTCTTATTGTAATACCTTTTTGTTTATATGGTTCAAATATATTCTTTCTTTAAACTGTTCTTTGTTGTTTTTAACGATTAATATATTTAAAACTTTTTTGGCTTCTTAATGGTCTTCCAATAGAACAAGTATTAGTAATAAAAGGTGATTACAGTGGTAACTGGTAGACAGATTAAACTTAAGGTTGGTTTGGCATTTGGAACTTTTGTAGTATGGATATAATTCTTTGAACTTTATGTTCTGTACTCTTCCTGTAGACCATCCTCATCAATAATAGTGTGTGTGTGTGTGAGCTGAATTGTATCAGCTTCATTCTTAAATGATTTTACTTCATGTAACAGCACAGAAGAAACTGCGGTTTCTTTCAAAATAGCCTTTGGTTTTATTTCTCCAAAATATTCTCTTAATGATCTCCAAAATATAATACTTATATTAGTGAAAATTATTAGTTATTATTTTATAAATAAAGACACAAATTTAAATGGTAGGTCCTAAACTTTGAATAAGAGGTAGATTTGGTTGTCTTTGAAAATGGTTTACTTCTGGGTTTGTGTATATAATATCTTCAGTTATTGACACATCATTTTTGGTGAGGCAAATCTGAAAACAGTGTTTTGTTATGTATAATTTCTTTATGATAGTAGAACACTAATTTTGTGGAGCTTGAAATTTATCATTCCCCTTGTGCAAAATGTAGTGGTTGTAGATTTTAGCTCAAAACCATACCTTGTATCTATAGACATTGCACCTCTTACTAGGGAGTTGCTCTAAGAGGTGGTGTGCTTTATGTTGGATGACGTGAAGTCATTCTGGAGCCTGTGAACCAGAATTGTACAACCTTTTAGGTAACTGATTTAGTCAGTTTGAGTCAGTAAAATACTCAGGAGAAATAGCCTCTAGAAAGAACAAGGACTGGTAACAAAAGGAAACATTGGTGATAACTGCAGGGGGTGGTCAGCAGACCAGTGAGTTACATTTAATCTCCCTTGATTTCCATCTTGTCAGCTGAGGTTGTAAAAGAAGAGCAGCCCCAAGGACCCCCATCACATTTTCTTACCTCCTGTAATGGCAACTAGACCATCCCTGGTCCTGGCAACTGTCAATTATATTGAAAATCTGGCTTTATTTGGTATTTATGTGTAAATTCACATACTGCTTTCCCCTGGGCTTCAGGGTTGCATGTGCACTGGTGCTTCTGGAATCAACCATGTCTTTGGCAGGGTGTCTCCATGTTGTCCCTATCCTGCTTTAAACTGTTGGCATTTAATTGCTTTATTTAAGTATTCCTGAAAAACTTGATGAACAATCTTCTTCAATTAAAAATTTACTGAATTAGATAACAGATGAGAATTCTGTGACATTTAGTACTACAGTTTTTCCAAATCAAACATGGAATATTTTTTCCAATATTTGGATACAAAAAGCTCTGATATAAGTAAAATTAATATTTTTCTAACCATAAACATAGCCTTAAACTGGCAAACTTAATACTACCACAAATGAAAACAGTTGCAGAATCAAGACACTAGCAAACAAGATGATATTGAAAAGATACTCTGAATTTTTTAATCTGGCATATTTTAACGAAAAACAAAATTCCTGAACTAGGTGACTTGACATCTAAGCTGTGAGGACCCTGTTAGAAGTTCGAAACAAAACTGGATCTGTGTGTGTATTTGGAGGTAATCTGAGCAAAGAGTCTAATTATGTAAAATTCCTAAACAGCTAACCTGGCACTTGGAATTTTTTTTTTTGAAGTGAAACTATTAAATACTAGAGTTATTGTAACTTTGTGAAGTTGATACTGGTTTATATGCAAAGTAAATGAATGGACAGTGCTTAATTCTTACTAAAGGAAACCTCTAAGAAACAACAAAAGAAAAAAATAGCATCTAAATCAGGAAGATGTCCTGTTACTTAACGTGACTTTTAAGGCTGTTAAATTATTTCTTAGGGTTAGGACACAACTTTACCCATATTTCCTTATGTCTCAAGTATATTTTATGTTGAGACTATAGTTCCTGTGACCTTCACAGAGTCCCTATAAAGTAGTCTATGAGCTAAACATCACCTTTTTTTTTTTTCTCGGTACGCGGGCCTCTCACTGTTGTGGCCTCTCCTGTTGCGGAGCACAGGCTCCAGACGCACAGGCTCAGCGGCCA